AGGTTCCCTGTATACCTTTTACCCTTAGAAATAAAGGTTTTTAAAAGCAAAGAAAACTCTTCTTTCCAATAGAGCAAGATCCATTGATACTCTGAGTAACTGAAATACTTTTGACTATTTTTACAACAGTTTAAGTTTGTAGTTTGTATTATTTTTGGATTTTCAATAAAAAAAATTTTTTTTAAGGATCTGGTAGGAGGTGATGTGAAAGACCTTGACTTGAGACCTCGGAGAGCCGCTGCCAGTCACAGTAGACAATAGAAACCTTGACAGACCAGTGGACGAGCTCAGCATCAGGCAGCTTCATGTGTAGATGTCCTGGTAACATCTAGATTAGATTACTGCATCTATGTGTGGCTGTCCTTGAAGACTGACCAGAAGTTTCAGTTGGTACAGAATGCTATAGGACCCTATTTGGGTAGAGAGGTGAAATACAATTTTTTTTTAATGTGTTCTACTGCCAGAGCTGGTCCTGCCATAGGACAGTTTCTTCGGCCTGTCCAAGGAGTCTGCTTATGGGGGCACCAGAAAGCCCAAAAGGCATAAAGGTGGTTGCTTCTATCTATATGCTGGTGAAAGATGAAAACAGCAGCAGCATGTGGGGGGGGGGGGGGGGGTGAGAAGGTGCAAACGGCACTGCCAGGGCGCAGTGCCATCAGGGATCTCAGGATACAAATGGCAGGAGGCAAGGGCAGCGAAGGGGGAGCCACTAGAAAGGATGCCACACCAGCCCGTTTGTGTAAAACCTCCCAGATATGATCTAAGGAGCTATCCACCAGCTCAATCTGTCCACAGAATATGTGATACAGAACTGTACAGCAGGGCATTTTTATTAAAGAAATGGGATTGTACTTTATTGCACTGTATTAGGAGCTGCGGTGGCTCAAGTGGTTAAGACACTGAATTGCAGGCTGTGGAAAGTCAGTAGTTCAGCAGTTTGAGACCCGAGTTGCCACATGACGGAGTGAGCTCCTGTCTCTAGTTCCAGCTCCTGCCAATCTAGCCATTCGAAAGCAAGAAATTGCAAGTAGATAAAAAGGTACCACTTCGGTGGGAAGGTAACAGCGTTCCGTGCGCCTTGGTGTTTAGTCATGCTGGCCACATGACCACGGAAATGTCTTTGGACAGCGCTGGCTCTTCGGCTTTGAAACGGAGATGAGCACCGCAACCCTAGAGTCGGATTCGACTTGCTTTCGAGCAAGGGAACCTTTACCTTTTACCTTTATAACCTTGTTTTACCTGCACTATTTTCTAGTTTTGCAATCGAGTTTTACTGCACTGTAACTGACTAAATATCACAGTGCTGTGATTCTCAGTGCTGGGCTGGAAGCAACAGGAGCAGACCGAGGGAGCTGACAGCCAGCATTGCTAATGCATCCCAGGGACAGTTTGTCAGAGAACCAAAATGTCATACAGGAAGGTCACTCAATGGCCAGAATCAAAGCCAGGGCAACTGTTCAAGCAAATGCTGAGTCAGGCCCTTGGTCTACCACAGCTAGTGTTTTTTACTCTGACCGGCAGCAACTGTCCAGGGTTTCCGGTTAATATCTTTTGCATCACAAGGAGAAAGGGTTAGGATGCAAGAAAGCAATGTTCAGGAGGGCGGACAGGGAAAGGAAATGGGCTGGAGACAACTGTGCTACTAAACCTGAGCTGCTCAGTTGCTCAGATCTGTTTATTTGCTTGATTTTAGACATTTGTAGCTGAGGTTTAGCAATCTCTAACTCCCAGTTAACTCTTTTGCTGGCAAGGTAAATAGGAGATGCTTTACTTGGGCTCCACTGAATTATTCCTAGATTTAAAAGCAGCCATTCAGTTTTTACGTTGCAATATAAAGTGTCGTGATGTGTTGGCTTTCGTGATCTATTAAAAGTGCCTAAATTAACACAAGTATTAAACACAGTTCTTAGTTTTTCTTGTCTTCACTTTACTCATGGGCCAAGAATTAGACTCAGGGGCATAGTCTAAATCTTTTTTTTTTTCCCAGTTGTCCAGAGTTGGCCAGTTGCACTTTGCACACCCACTCTGGAGCTGGAAAGGAAGTCTCTATCCACAGAGCACTGCCTGCAAGGCACAAAACTATTCACATATGGGAATCTATTGTTCCAACAGGAAAGCAGGCTTTCCCCTTTATTGCTGCCCTGGAGTCCTGGCCAAAGGCTAGGGGAAAAGCCATGCCACTTTCCCACACTCGTGGGGGGGGGGGTGGGGGGGGGAAGCACACTACACCAAGATGACTGAGCTCAGTTCAGGACCCCACAAAAATCCTACACATGGTCTTAGCCAAAAGGCCAAGAAGTGATGGACCCCACTAAAACCCAATCTCTTTGGAGGCAGCACTGTGCGCTCCTCTAGATCACCAGACATTTGTGCAGCAGCAGACAGGAGCACGCAAAGCTGTTTTATCCCTAGTCAGTCAGACCACTGGTATGGGAAGTTCTCCTGCACAAGCCCTGGTGAAATGAACAAGAGCCATCCACAGCTTCTTTCAACGAAGCTTTTACAGGGGGGGGAAACTTGAACACACGATGCAGCCTTATACTGAATCAGACCATTCATCCATCGAAGTCAATACCGTCTACTCAGACGGGCAGCTGCTCTCCAAGGTCGCTGGCTGTTCACATCGCCCACTACCCGGTCCTTTCAATTGGAGATGTCAGGGATTGAACCTTGAACCTTCTGCATGCCAGGCAGAGGCTCTACCTCTCCTCTATGGGTTGAGCCCCATGTAGACATATCAGCTTGGATCCTGCCATACGTAACTTTCTTGCGTTCCCCCATCCCACAGCAGCCCAAAATGCCCCCTGAAACGCTGCTCCTGGGAGTGCAGAGGATCCTCAGGAATAACAGGGGGGGGGGTCAGATGGCTGCTGTGGGGGCAGGGAAATCAGCATCTTGCATGCACAGTAATTTTAGGCGGGATCCACTCCACTATTTGGATTTTTCACCTCAGGCACTAAAATGTCCTTGGAAAAGAAAGAGGCCCTGGGAGGCCTTTGCTCAGATTTCAACTCTGGAAAAGCGACCAAAGAAAGAAGGAAAGAACAAAAACAGTACATTACTTCAGACAACTCAAGCAAGCCAGCCAAGCCAGAGAGTGAAAACAAAGATATAACAATCCCCCCCCCCAATAAATGGGAACCGTTTTTGTTTGGGCTAACACAAACAAATGCTGCCTGAGCCATATCGCACTCAAGGCCAAAAGATCACACTTTGCTCTTTCCTTCCCCCCCCCCATTGCCTTCCCCTCCAGAGTTCATTTGGAGGAAGTCCTAATTACAGCAAAATGCAAACAGAAGCCACAAGCAGTATGAATGTTTATAGTGCCTTTCTAAAGGGATTATGCAAGCTTAGTAGTAGAAGAGGTCAGGTGCTTGCCAAGCGGCAGGCTGATATGATAAATCCTGACCCGCTGGCCTAGCCCGATTACCCTCCGCTTGGCAGTGTGCGGGATAAAAGGCTCACCCGGTCACACAACCTGCTAGCTACACGGTCAGGCTATTGTTGTCACCCTTTCAAGAGACTCATCTCGACGTGGGAAAAAAAGAAGAGGCTCTGCCAGGAAACACTTGGGAGAAATGGAGCAATTGCATCACTGGAGCAATCTCTACAAGCAGAAAATTAAGGAGTGGCTTTCATTACAGATAGGAGGATGACCCCTTGAAGGCTACCATTGCCTATGTTCCAGGGTATCTGGAAGACAAAACAAGAGCTTACATCCAACCCCTAACGATGACAGCCAGTGTGGTACGGTGGTTAGAATGCCAGACTAGGGTATGGGATACACAGGTATGACTCCCCCTCAGCCATGGAAGCTTGCTGGGTGACCTTGGGGCACTTTCACACCCTCCGTTTAACCTACCTCACAGGGTTGTTGTGAGGATAAATGGTGGAGAGCAGAATGTTGTACACCGCTTTGGGTCCCCATTGGGGAGAAAGGAGGGGTATGGATTTATTTTAATTGTTTCAGTAAAGAATAGTAAATGCCAAGCAACGTGATGATTTTACTGATCTTGTTTGTATCGATGCAGAATATGTGAATTCTCTAGGGACTGTAGAATTTCTAGAGGCTGGAGTGGTTGCATTCACAAACAGATGATTAAGTGAGGGACATAATAGAGATACATAAAATTACAAGCATCATCATTTTGATGGATGCAGCATGGAGGGACAAATTGCACAAGTCCTGGCAGAGGTGCAGGGGATCTCTGTATGCTCAGCATCCAGAGACACACTGTCCCACTCCCAACCCACAGAATATTTTATCTACTTATCCATTTTAAAAATGTTCCCAATCTATCTTTCCTTGTCAAACCCAACATAGGTAACGATAACAGAGTAAAACTTGTTGCTAAAATATCATATTCAAACAATAAAAGAGCAACAGCCCGGAAATCAGTTATCCATTTAATAAAAACACAAGGAAAACCTCTTTCAAAAGCAGAATTTTTTTATGGCCTTACTGAAAGAGAACAATGAGGAGCTGTTAAAATGAACCTGTTCCATTACTGGGTGCTTGGAATAGAAAGCAAGTTTTTACTTTAACCTGGTAAATATTTTACAAACGTTCCCCCCCACCCCAGGAAGGAATGACAGCCAGATGTCAGCCAGTACTGAGGGTTGGGAGCTGACCTTGCTCCCTGCAGCACGTAAGAACCAAACTTGCTATCTTCATATCCCCGCCCCTTCATTTGCATAACCCCATCCTGGGTTCTGTTTCTTGAGTATGCCAGGGTGTGATGCAAGCTGGGAATTCCCATAGACTGACAAACTCGTGAAGAAAGTTCACTCCCTTTAAAAGACCTCTATAGTTGGCACAGGAAAAAAAGATAAAGAGAAGATGGCACAGTCCTTAAGCATTAGCTACAACACCGAAGCTTGGGAACCTCAGGTAGTTATGGCATCAAACACTGCAGAAAGAGGCCATTCATAAGTAGCAAACTTAGATCATATGGCATATTTTCCAAGCCTTCAATGCATTACAGATAGCATTGACCCACCTTTGTGCAATGTTCCATCTTCAAGAGGTTTCTCTTGCAGACTCTGCCCATCTTCTAATTTAGTCTGGATTGAGACAGACAAAGAACTCATAAGAAGCAATAATCATAAGAGCAATAATTTTTTCAACTCTTGAGATGCCAGAAGAGAGAATACAAGATGAGTTGTTATATGGCCTGGCTTTTGCAAACAAAAAGAACATGAAAAACAATACAAGTCAGGAAACTTCACCCAATGGAAGTACGGAACATACAAGGGAAGAAATAAAGACCACCTTCAGCACATACAAAGAGAAAGGACACCGGCTTACGATCATCATGAAAAATAAAATTCAAAAAAAGAGAAAAATATAAATACTATAATTAGATTGGTATAAGGAATGTTGATATATGTCTAATAGTTTAATTTGAGTTATAGCTGGGAATAAAAATAATATAACAGAAAAACATTTAAACAGAAATGAAACACATAATTATAAAATAGTAAAGAAAGCACAGAAAGATAATTTGTTCATGTTAAGAAACATGTAATCTACAGCTGTAACTCAATAAGAAAGACATTATGGATCTGGATTCACATATTGGCATTGATTTTATTATGTGGTGCAAATAGAAATTGCTAACCTTCTCTTCTGTCTACATGTTGTTTCCATTAAAGAGCCTAATTAAAACTAACAGTAATTAATAAGATTCTATTAAGAACCTATCAATGAAATGTTAATGTTTCAGTTTTTATTGTGATTTATATAACTCCATTACTTTTTAAATATGATTGGTAGAGTGATTTTTGATTCCTTGTAGCTGAAATATTAGTAGAAGATTGATTATGTTATTAGAGTTATATTAGTTTAATTTACCTAAAATTTATATATACTAAGAAAATAGATTTATAGCAGTATAAAGAAAATTAACAACTATTAGAAATATATAACGTTGTTGAAAAGATATTTGTTAATTTGGTAAAGCTTTAGGTAATTTTTGTTTGTATGTTATGTGTGAGCAGGGCTTTTTTTGTAGAAAAAGCCCAGCAGGAACTCATTAGCATAATTGGCCACAACCAAAAGCAGAAACTCATTCGCATATTAGGCCACACCCCTGACAGGACAGGTCATTAGCATATGAGGCCACACCCCAGTGTTACCAGAAGTGTGCTCATCCAGCCACACCCACCTTTTGCTTCTTATTCTGTTGACCTTGTTTGTGGTCAAAACCCAGGGCCTTTTTTCGTAGCAGGAACTCCTTTGCATGTTAGGCCACACACCCCTAATGTAGCCAATCCTAATGAGTTTCTGCTGTTGGGTGTTGCCTATTATGCTTATGAGCTCCTGCTGGGCGTGGCCAACTCAGGAGCCAGCCGGAACTCCGTTCCTGTGCGTTCCTGCCCAAAAACAGCCCTGTGTGTGAGCAAACTGACTAGATTCTATTACAATGTAATACTCTCACGTTTTTCTTTTTCTTTTGAAAACCAATAAAATATTATTTTAAAAAATAAATAAAAAAGATTAAACACAAGGCTGCCTTACACTGTCTGACCACTGGTTCCCTTAACTCTGACTGGCAGTGGTACTCCAGGATCTCAAACAGAGAAGGATCTTTCTTAACCCCTACTACCTTAAATCATTTAATGAGAAATATTAGGAACTCAACCTGGAACTGTCTCCATGCATTGCACAGAGTCTACCACTGAGCCACAGGCCTTGCTTTGAACGTTAAAGTAAGGTACTTCAGTGCCTCAGTGAAGACACACACACATTCCACATGAACTGTTCAGAATTTTATTATTTCATTCAAGCAATACAGATCCAGACAAGCTTTCATTTCCTTCAAGGAAGGCAGCTAGGACATTTTTTAAAGAAGATATAATAAACCACGAGAGCTTCACATTAGACATCTTCCTGGACTTCCACAGAAAGACCAAGCAAAAATAAATTAAACTAAATTACCCCAAACTGTCCCTTGGTCTGGGATGCCACTTGAGGCAAGGTGTCTCAGAGCCAAACTACACATGATGGTGTCCACAGGCCCAACCTATGGGCCCTGCTGCCATTTTAAACCCTCATGAGGCAGTTTAAAAATGCCGTGAGGGCCCGTAGCATGGTGGGATGAGGCACTCCCATGTGTCCCTCCCTTCCCCCAGTGACTTTTCAAGTGCCAAAAGAGCCATGGCATTTTAAATTCACCTAATTAGGCTTTAAAATGGCAATGGCATCTGCAGGTTGGACCCATGGACCCCATCATCATGTCTAGTATGGCCCTCAACTGCCTGTTTATAGAGGCAACTCCTTTGCCACAAATAGAATGTTCACAATATCCAATGTTAACTCAAACATAATTGAGCCAGTTTACACATGTGGTTCTGAGGTAAAGGGATATCCATACATTTGTTAATTAGTGCCTTCTCCAGCAGTGACAGTAAGGGGGAAAGCCTCTAAGATGGTAGAGGGCAGACGTATGGCCCAAGAGTGGATGCCCATCTTCTCAGGATGATGGCTGCCCTCCAACCAAGCCAACGTCTCTAGGAAACCTGCAAAAAGTCTATCACATTTTCATCCTTCCCTTCCTCCAAGAAGCTCAGGGCTGTATCTGTAGTTCTCTGTTCCCTAATTTTATCTTCTGACAACAGCCCTGTGAGGTAGGATTGTCCAGGAGTAAAAGGGTCGAGGTTACCCATGGAACTTCATGACTGAATGGGGATTTGAACCCAGGCCTCCTATTCTAATACTCTAATCAGTACTTCACACTGACTCTCTAATGCATATTATTGTCACCATCTTGGATGCGTTTCCTTTCTCCAGGCACTGCCATCCTAAGAAGCTAGGTGAAATTGGGGGGAGGGGAAACCAATTTCAAGCTCTGTCATTCTAGAAGCATGGTTAGTGCTGGAAGATACTTAATCCAATCACATAGCCTAACCCCGCACATATGTAATGTTATGTACGCGGACCGCCACCAGGAGTCCACAGCTAAAGCAGGAGCTTGGTCCCCAAACACAAAGGGGACCTAGGATCCTAGTCCACCTCGAGTCCACCAATAGCACCCTTGGCGGAAAATTCAAACCCTCCTGTGGGGACATAGGTGTGCCAGGTGGAGTGTATATAGTTGGCCTTGCAGGGCCGTTTTCCTTGTCTTGTTGTGAAGTACAATAAACGCGTCTGAACGCATGTCGTAGTCCGAGTTCTCCATGCATCGAACCCAGTACTATTCAGTGGCGATGAGGGTGGGATCCTGATGAGCAGGCCAGGCTCCTCTTCCAGCGCAGCACCGAGCATCATTCCAGAAAACACCACCGCGCCCTGCACCGCTCCCAAACAGCACCACACCCGGCGTCACTGAACACTGCTCCCCTGCTCCACGCTAGAGTCATGGCCTCCACTCCAGGACACCTCGAGGTTTTCGACCCCACTCATCCTGAGCTCTGGGATTCGTGGATGGACCAACTAACCTGCCACCTTTCCTTCAATGAGATTTTTTTAAAAAAAAAAAATTTAGGACCTTTCCTTCAATGAGATAACCAATGCAGGCAAGAGAAGGGCTCTCCTCCTCAGCTCTTGTGACGTGAACACCATCCAGCTCGCGAAGAGCCTCCTGGCCCCAAAGGCTATCCTCGAGTGCACGTACAAGGAGATCATAAACGCCCTGACCAGGTACCTCACGCCCAAGCCAACAACGCTGGCCAAGTGGTCGGAATTCCAGGGGCGTATCCAGAAGCCCGGCAAGACAGCCGCAGCATTCATGGCCGCGCTGCGCCAACACGCCATGGAGTGCGACTTCTCCAAGGTGGAGGAGAACCTCTTGACCCAGTTTGCCTGGGGAATCAGCGACGTGAAGCTCCGCCGAAAGATGATCGGCACATCCGACATCAAACTCAACGAGGCCCTCCAGCTCACCATCACCCACGAGCAGGGGTCATTTCTTAGAAAAAGAGGTGCAGGAGCTCATTAGCATAACCTATTTGCATATGCCACACCCCTGACATCACCGGAAGTGTGTCAGAAGGCAACACCCACCGCTCAGGTTCCACTTTGGATTGGTAGCTATGGGGGGGGGGGGAGATGTGCAGATCTGGCCTTGCAGAGGAGGGAGAGCTTGTACCTGAATAAAACTTGGTCTTAAAGGTGCCACTGGACTGTTTTGGGCCGGGGGGGTGGTGCTCTGCAACTTACCTGGTTGCTTTTTGCTCTGACTGAGGGCTGCTGGGAGCAGGGGGTGGGGCTTGTTGCATGTGCCCACCCCCTGGGCTCTTTACTGCCGGAGCTCCACTCCTGTGCGCTCCTGCAGGAAATGACCCCTGCCTACGAGGCCTCCCACCGCGACCAACCGCCAGCAGCGTCCCATGTCTGAACGCATGTCGTAGTCCAAGTTCTCCATACGTCAAACCCAGTACTTTTCATGTAAAGATAATACCCCATATCCCTAAAGCTTGTTTTTTTAATATCCAACTTTTTGTTTTGCTTTTAAATGCTTCTAGGTCGACATGGCCCTGACATGGATAGCCCAGGCTAGCCTGATCTGGTCAGATCTTAGAAGCTAAGCAGGGTCAACCCTGGCTAGTATTTGGTTGGGAGGCCTCCAAGGAATACCAGGGTACTGATGTGGAGGCAGCCCATAAATCAGCTGTGACTTGAGGGCACTTTCCTCCACCACCAAGTTGACATGTTCTCAATAAAAGGGAAAATACTGTTGAGTATCTGCTGCCACCTAGAGACAAAAAATATTTTAACACTTTCTCAGGAATAAAGGAAACTATTGTTCCACAGAGTTGCCTGTTTTGCTGTTGCAGGAACAGAAAGCCTGTGGTGGTACCTTAAAGACCAACAGATTTTTACTACAGCATAAGGTTTCATGGACTGGAGCCGACTTTGTCAGATGTATGCAGTGGGTCCTCATTAGGCAGGCATATAGGCAGGCATTAGGCAGGCATATATACCCGAAAAAAATTGTAAACAACAAAGGACTATTAAATCCAGGAATACATCTCAGCCTGCATTTCATGTGCCTTTTGATACTGTTGTTTACATTTGTTGCCCTTTCATAGCCTCCCATATGCCTGGTGGGCTTCTCACACCCATCTGACAAACTTGGTTCTAGTCCACCAAAGATTGTGCTGGAACGAAACCCGTTGGTCTTTAGCACTCCCACAGGTGCCCTGTGTACCTGATGAAGTGGTCTGGAGCAGCTGAAAATTGCACAATGCACTGTATTATTTTGATTGGTCTTCAGAAAAAATATTACACGACTTTTGTGTACAGAATCTTAGTGAACTACAGCTTTTACCAGTGGATTACTTCCCACTGGAAGGGGCAGGAGGCCAATCACAGCCACGGGGGGGGGGGGGGATTTAAGACAGCTGCTTCCCAGCTTCCTATCAGACACTGCAAGGGATTCTGGGAAATATCTCTTGGGACACAATCATGGGCTGGCCCTGACTGTGCAGGGAGTAGAACAGATGGAAGAATCCCCTGCTGGGGCAAAGGACTGTGTGCAGTGGCCTGAGTAGTATATGACCTGCTGCTTTGGAAAGGTTGAGTCAATTGGCCCCTCAAAATTAAGTACATCAAACAAACTCCATGGAGATTCAATTATGAGTAGATAACAAGTTTGTAAGAAGCTACATCAGTGCTCTAGAACACCCCCCTGCCCCAAAAAATAGCAGTAAAATTCCTTTTTGTTGGGATCAACCAGACTGTCCCAAGGCAGAGAGCAAGCTTTTGAGCTCCCCAGAACTCTGCATTAGGCTAGATGTAAACTACAAGGAAGGAAGGAAGGAAGGAAGGAAGGAAGGAATGAATTACAGAATAGGCAAAGCCTGTAATGTGTAGCCTTCTTAAAACAAAGACCAGAAGGAAATAATTAATTTGATGGGGAGCTGCTATTTACCCCACTGAAGAAACTGGGCTAAATGTATACTGACAAGTTACATGTAAGTTTCCCCAGTGGACCAGTTGATATTACCCCAGAGTGGACCCAAGAACAGTGTATGGAGTAGTTAGCCCCCCCCCCAAGTGCATGCTAGGGCAGCAGTATTATGTACCAGCTGAAATTTCTGAATCCTCCACTGGAAAAACTTACTATACTGAGGAGCTCTGATGAAGCTGAGTCCTTCTTGAGAGTTCTGGTTGATAACTGCCTTTTTTTCCTGGAAAGAAGAGAGAAAGGCATTTATTTGCCTTTGAATTCCAGGGACTTCACCATTCACCCCTGTTCAATTCCATCGTATACCTCCTTGCAAGCCGACCAGGAAATCACCAGGGATATATCGCAACCAGGCAAGAGGCCAAACAGTATCTGGAGTCTCCCAGAAATGTTCAGCCATATCACCTAATGCAGAATTCAGAAGGACAGCCATGTAACGCAGTTGCAGAAAACACAACTGTCTTGTGGCTCCTTAAGGAGGAACTGATGTATTGAAAACATAGGTTTTCATTAAAGAGGGCCCATCATGCATCAGATGGAAGTGTGCAGCTGTGAGTGTGGATGCCATAACACATTTGTTTGTCTTTAGGTGCCACAAGATCCTGTGTTGTTTCGAATAAGGAACTGTGCAGGGGATCTTTTGCTGTAACCAGACTGCACCAATAACTGAGGTTTGCATTGGGTGTCAGTGTTTCTGGGCACATGCTTGGTATCTGGGGTGGATGTAATAGCGACTGAGGAAGAACTTTTAAGGAAACAAGGGAAGTAAACCGGGACCTTGTATCACTGTTACTGGCATCTTTACTCCTCACTGTTGATGTTATTTTTCCTCATTGTGATTGTTATGTCTTCACGTAATTACTCTGTATGGTTATTATAAATGCTTAGTTAAGGTTACTGTTCCCGTTTACAGGATGTTCTAGCGATTTCTTTATTTGACTGTTTAACTACATCCAATTGGATTATTTGGCAACTGGAATCCCGTAACTTTGTGTATCTATTAGTACTGATGTTACAATTTATTAAATTGTTGTATTATTTTCAATAAAAGTTTCAGTTGTTAATTTTTACGGGTATAACTTTCCTATTGTGTGGGAGTCTTTGGTAGGCAGCCCATTTTCGGAGTTTTCTTAATTGGTCTCAGGAGGCCAGAAGCAAGCAGACCCAAGCCTAGCAACTCTGCTAGAGCCTCGGGGACCCCTTGGCTCAGACCCTTATCAGCCATGGCAGTTGGTGTCAGGCAGAGGTCGTTTCGTAGAAAAAGAGCTAGGGGAACTCATTAGCATAACTCATTAGCATATGCCACACCCCCTGACATCACCGGAAGTGTGTCATAAGGCCACACCCCCTGACATCACCGGAAGTGTGTCATAAGGCCACACAACCCGCCCCCAACGGTCCCGGCCGCCGCCAGAAGCCTTGCAGCTCCACTGCCGAGCCCCATGAGGGGCCCGGCGGTGGACCTGCAAGGCTGGCGGGAGTGCAAGGAAGCCCCGCGAAGGCCCTCCCTGGCCCCAGGCAGGCAGGGGTGGGGAGAGGCAGGGAGGAAGCAACTTACCCTCCCTCTTCTCCTGCCTCCTCCTGGCTGAATGGGGGCCGGAAGCGGGGCGGCCGGAAGCAGGGGGTGGGGCTTCGTCATGTGCCCCGCCCCCCGTACCTCACCCGGGGGAACTGCGATCCCCCGTGATCCCCCCCGAAATGACCTCTGGTGTCAGGTCACCAACTGTCTCCTCCTGTACTTCAATGAGTGAGAAAATGTCCATTGTTGGTCCCACTGAGATGAGTGGCCCTGCCAGTGTTAACGTGCAGCTCCACAGCGCTCATTTAGTTTGACCTGCTCCCGGGCCATTTTCACTTCCCAGTCCACTCTGGCTTGGTATTATTACCTATAAAGACATACAGCTGAGGAAATAATTCCTCCTGTACATCCTGCTAAAGTCTTTCAGATCTAGCAGGGATGCTCTGATGGAGAAGCCACTTTTTGGGCCAAGGCAGAAAGTCAAGGGCATGAGAGGAGAGAGTCTCACTGGGCAGTTCCCGTATGACAAGAACTCCTTCCCCACAGAAGCCGAGTTAAGCCTGAGCTAAGCATAAAACTCTGCCCTGAAACTCATATGAAATGCCACATCTCTGTCTCTTCTTTCAAATGCCCCTTACAAACCTACTGTTCCAATTACAGTCAGTGTGATCTAATGGCTAGTGTGTCGGGGCAGGACTAGTGAAACTTGAGTTCAAATTCCCCACTCAGACATGACACTCACTGGGAGACCTCAGGCTAGAGTCATTCTCTCTCGAGCAGGCCAATGCATACATTACAGAGCATATGAGTATGCATTACAAAGTTAATTCAAAGCAGCTTACAGCAATAAATATAGTGTCATAAAATTAATTAAAGCAAATAATTAGCTTGAAAACATCCATCAATAAAACATAGAGCTATGAGTGAAAACAATTTCACTGCAAACTTGTTCAGGCAGGGATCTGTTTTATATGATCCTATAAAGTTCTGTGTGCATTCGTGGTGGTATATTCATCATCATCATAAAAGTGACAATAAAATCCAGATTTTGCTGCCTCTGTTTGTTTTTAAATTGGTTGCATTGTGATATTTTACGGCTCTATTTTATAATAGCGGTGCATTGGCTTGATTTCTGTACAATACCCTGAGTGATGGGATCTGCAGTTCAAAATACTATGAGTAGGGATACTGTGAACATATCTGGCTCCAACACTGCTTTTAGAAGGCAAACGAAAATAATACAGCAGTCCTGAGGAGATCTGTGCCAAAAGGAAATGAAATACCTGACAGTGCAATCCCAAGCAGAGCTACAGCCTTCCAAGTCCAGTGACTTCAACGGCATTAGAAGGCTGTAACTCTGCTTAGTATTGCACTGTAAGCATCTATGGTTTCATTCAAGAAATCAGAAGAATGGAAAAGAAGTTTCTGAAGCTTATTCAGTGGGGTTACTGTATTCCAAGATCTGTCTGGAAGCCATGGAGCCTTTTGACTGTGACAGCTAATAAGTCCTTGTGGAAGATCCTAGAAAATCAGTGGCATAATTAGCAATCACCTCAAGAACCATAGACCAGGGTTCCTGAATGTGGTGACTGTGAAGTCTTTTTGGAAGGCAGAGTCCGTGGCATTACATCCCATTGGAGCCCCTCCCCAAACCCTGCCCCCCAGGCTCCCCCCCTCCCAAATCTCCCAAATCTCCAGGTATTTCCCAATCCAGAACTGGCAACCCTAGCAGATCCAAAGGAGATTTTTACCCAGCAAGGATTTTGATTGGCTGTGCAGATTTTTTTTAAAAACGTTGCTTCAACAGCAGCTTCCACCACAGCACAAGGATCTTCACTACATGACTGAAGGTAAACTGCATCTACGCATAGGGTTTATTATATGTAGTACATTTCTATCCCACCTTTCCTACAAGAAGCTCAATGGGGTGTACCTCATTCTCGCCTCCCGTTATATCATCACAACAACCCTGCAAGGTAGATTCAGCCGAGAAAGAGTGGCTGGGCCAAGGTCACCCAGTGAGCTTCCTAGCAGGGAGGGGATTTGTACCCAGGTCTCCCAAATACTAGAACAGCACCCTAACCACTAGTCCACTCTGGTTCTCGTATTGGATCACTGAAAGAAACTGGCCTCTAAAAGTTAAAAGTGGAACCACACACTCGCACAGTGAAATAAGCTTCAGTCGATCCACACAGACCAATTTCCCCCTGAAAAATATTCCCCCACCAAGATATTACAAAATAAGTCCTGCACCTTCTGAAGGGGAAGCAGAGAAGCAGCAGAAGGACCATCATGACGACGGGGGCCACGGATCCTAAACTCCCCATAACTGGGGTAGAGAATCCCAGGGATGTGCCAGTCTTGGCTCTCATTGCTAGTGGGGGAGCCATCGATCCACGGGGACACGGGTGGGAGAGAAGCAATGCTGAAACATACAAGCAAAAAAGACAATAGTATAAAAACACAGGCTAGAGAAGGCCTTTCAATCCACAGAAATGTATACCTTCTGTGATTCCACATGTGAAAACCGAGACATTCTTGAGTAGTGGACACTTACTGTTCTTCTATAGAGGACTCTTGTTACATACTGCTGAAGGCTTTTTTCCTGCGTACTGTCATGTCTGCTGTATTCATTTACCCTGCATTGATATAAAAGCAAAGCAGGATCCTTGTTCTCTCCGGTAATTAGAAAAGCATAACGGTTCTATAATATGAAAATGAACCTCAACAGCTGCCGAGCATGACATGGAACCCTGGCCAATATGGGGAATCTCAAGGCCAAAAGACACCTGCTGCTGGGAATCTTTGTTTGGGTCCCCAGACATGTAGCTGAGCAACATGGAGGGCCCAATATGGATTGGAACCAGGGCATGAGAGATAGGGGGGTTAGTCCACCCCCCCCATTTCCCTGGTTAGAACATACACACATTCATTAAGCGGGGGGGGGGGATGGAAGACCCATATTTTGGAAAAGTCAGGTTACCAGAAGGCAGTTTTGAAGTGTGGGGGGCAGGAGACAAGACAGCACCATTTCCAAATGCTCTGGCTCTAATCTACTCCCCCCCCCCATGGTTATTTTGGGCACCAAAAGTACACATATGGGAGATCCAAATACAGATCCCCAAAGTTAGATATGATTTGGTCCTCATGTTCATGCATGTGCACATTTTCACATGTGCCCTTGAGACAATGTGCTCCTGTCCCACCTCCCAGTCTCCTTCAAAGAGTTAAATCCTAGAGATATGAGGGGCAAGGGACCCTAACAACTCACAACACCTTTTTAAATGTGCATCCCCCTTCAATAATCTCCCCACAAAGGAGAAGAAAAAGGTATAAGTGATTTACCAGGGACTGGTACCTGAAAATCAGGATAGACCTTGGAAACTCTTGGAACCATATGCAAATGATATAAAGCACACACACACACACACATATGTACACACACACACACACACACACACACATATATATATATACACACATATATATATTTGTATGTATGTAAGAACAGTTTAGGAGCTGCGGTGGCTCAAGTGGTTAAGACGCTGAACTGCAGGCTGTGGAAGGTCAGTAGTTCAGCGGTTCAAGACCCGGGTGCCGCAAGACAGGGTGAGCTCCTGTCTCTAGTTCCAGCTCCTGCCAACCTAGCAGTTCGAAAGCAAGAAATTGCAAGTAGATAAATAGGGACCACTTCGGTGGGAAGGTA